CATAAAAGTAGATACTAGACAGGAAAAAAATATACGCGAAACCGGCGGTTTAAAACCGGACCAAACCGTTAGGTTTAGGTTTGAGTTTTTTTCAAACCGGTCAAAACGGTTTGGTTTAGGTTTGAGTTTTTCTCAAACCGGTTAAACGGTTTGGTTTGAAAATTTGTCAAAAATCGGTAAAATCGGACCGCTTACACCCCTATTACAGATCTAGACAGTTGATCACTTAGACATTTAAAGCGCAATACCACCACGATTAATTTCTTCCGCCTTGTATGAATTCTCTGAATCTCCAACTTTAATCAACAATCTTGATTTTCTTTAATTGTCTCCAACCTTTGAATCTTCTTTAGTATTCTTCAAATTCAGATTGTACCTATGAGTGAACACCGAAATCTAACAAAGAACAAAAATTAGTACATTTTTCAACAACACAAAACTAATTAGTTCTTAGAGATCAAGAACACTTATTATGAAAAATCTCTAAACTTCAAAATTTTAAAATAGACATGAATAACATGGTTTCCTTATTCGAAGATGCTTAGGTTATTATAGTGTCTTGAAATTTAAACTTAAGTTATAAGTAACATAGAACACCTCCACGTATATGGTCAAACTCACGATATGTGGGCAAATTTTGAATTTGATTTTAATTAATTAAAATTTGGCTTTGACTTTTGATCAACCAGTTGACTTCCATCCAACTTTAACAAGAAAATATGTTAACCTTTATACTTCAATTATTTCTATAATTAAGTCTTTGAACTTTAGGGAGCTACAAAAAATGACCCAATTAGACCAATATAAACCAAGCTATACTAATTGAACACATATAATCCTATTCGAAATGTCCAATCAATTATTATTTTAGATTTATTCCACTAAATATCTAAGATCGACCTCTCGAAATATAAAAAAATTAAATAACCAATGCTATTTCAATTCTATGCAGTAAAATCATTTTGACATCTTAATTCATTACATGTGTTGGACATAAAATTATTAGTGGTGGACTAAATTGGTTGTTTTACCCAAGGGCCCGTTTGACTACAAATGTGAAAAATAGGTAAAAAAAAATGTTTTATAGGGAATTAAATTGTCTAGAAATTATTTTATTGGAAATAATAATTAATTGTATTTTATTGGTATAATTTTCCACCTGGAAAATGTTGAAAATTTGATGTCCGTTTGGCTTCATTTTTTTATGAAAATTGTCCATTAAAGAGATAATTTTTTTACCATTGGGTTTAAAATTTGTTCCAATTGCCAAAAAAATTTAAAAAAAAATTACCATACCAACTTCCGTTTGGCTTTGTTTTGTATGAAAATTGTCAATAAGAATGATAATTTTTTTTACCATTGTGTTCAGAATTTTTTCACATTGCAAATAAAAAAAAAATGAATGGAAATTGATTTTCTACAAAACAAGGAAAATGTGAGCATGTGAGCAAAATCAAGAAAGTTTTTTTCATGGAAAAAAAAATGTGTCAAACAAGGCAAAAGTAAAAGTTGGAATTTGTTTTCCATTTTCCATGGAAAATAATGGCCTATCAAACAGGCCCTAATTGTTTTCCACTTAAGCTAACACTTTCTTCAATGATTTCTTTATGATGAAATCGCAGCGATAATTCGGTCCTCACCAGATACTGAGCTATTCAAAAGAAAATATTTATGTAGATTTTTTTTACCCTTTGGACTAGTCGGCAGATTCTGATCGCGAATGATCTTACACAAAATGATCAAACATAATACACTTCTTAATATAACAAGTGTACTAGTGTCACTACTAAGTTACGATGGTGTTTGTTGGAGATTAAAATTAGATTTTTAATAGATTCTGATAGAAGTTTTTGAAATGTGCGGTTGAAAAGTTGTGGGACTCATGAAAAATGTGGTTAATATTGATTGTTTGAATTTGACTTATATTAAAATCTGATTTTAATTTGTACCAAACATGTTATATATATACAGAAATGATCTAATGAGCACCGGTGCTCATCTTATCCTAAGCACCGATGAGTTGGAAATTTAATTCATTGGTGGATAAAGATTNTAGTACCTTCGAAACTGACTACCATATTTTGTATTTGTAGGGAAAATAATGAGCAAATTGACCGGCCCAACCCACACCACCAACCCCAAGTGAGGTTCCAACCCAAAACCAATTGGCAATGGATGGAGTAGCCTACTTGGGTTATATGGTGGATTTCTTTTCTTCTCCCAACCGATGTGAGACTTCTTGTTTGCTCCCAACAATCCTCCCCTCAAACGATAATCCATTCGCCAATCATCTTGTACTGCCGTTATTACCGTCGCCCTCGGCTAAACGGGACCCGCCGCCTGACCACCAATGTCAGGAAGACTTTCGACACAAGGCACCTTAAACGCGAATGATTTTTAGCTCGATCGCCACCACGCTTTCAACTGCGTTCCTCCGACCCTGGGCTCTGATACTAGTTGTAGAGAAAATAATGAGCAAATTGACCGGCCCAAACCCACACCACCAAGCCCAAGTGAGGTTCCAACCCAAAACCAATTGGCAATGAGTGGAGTAGCCCACTTGGATTATATGGTGAATTTTTTTTCTTCTTCCAACCGATGTGAGACTTCTTGTTTGCTCCCAACAGTATTTCACTCATCACTCGAAGACACTTTATAAACATACTCAAAATATAATGTAACTTTGTTTTATAGAAATAAATAAAACTCTTTTATTGATTAATAACATTCAAAATGTTTTTCAAATCATAGTAAAACTCTAATACTTTGAGTACATATCCCCCAACAACTAAATGTAACTGGCCGATCCAAGCTCACTTTCATATTGTATTTTAATTGTTTGTCTTCTTTGCCTTCATTTGGTTTGATGAGCAAACGAAGAGTTTTAATTTGTTAAAAGCCTTATAATTAAACGTTTTTACTTGATGCGACACGTCATAAGCAATTCTTTTAATTTGACAACATGGAATTTTGACAATGTTAGGTAGTTTAAATGTCGTGTTGATGTAAATGAAGGGATTTTGTCAATTTCAATGTTCTTGACGTCAATAGCAATACCCAAGCACTCCAGTATAGTATATCTTGATTTTGGGGTCAACAACATTCAAATAAGGACAGATTGGATTAACTTAACCAGTAACACTCTCCAATTTTATAGTCTAGCTCATGAAAACTCGAACACACATATCTCCAGATTTCTCAGAAATTAGAATAACAGCCACGATCCCAGGAATATATAAACCATGCACCATCTATGCATGCTAAAACTGCAGGAACTAATTATGAAATTCCATTCCAC